CTGTATCTGTATCTGTATCTGTATCTGTATCTGTATCTGTATCTGTATCTGTATCTGTATTCTGCACTCTCTTCACATTATCTTTAATCCGTAATAACTGCGTTAGGATACGCTGTCAATGTTGTCGAACGTTTGCTGACGTCACAGTTGAAAACTTATTCGCAATGATTGCGTTGTTGTCTGCCAAATTGAGCGCAAAAGCCTTGACAGCCCAACTAAATGAACCCGGTGCCATGGGAGGGCGGGCCAGCTTTCAGCTCTCGGATAGGTGGTGGCTCGTGGCGCTCAACTGGGAGCTCAGGTGCCATCAGTTCCGACTCGTTTCAGTTTGAAGTTTACGCTGTTTGACAGTTTCGGTTGTGTGGCAAAAAGTTAAAACTGTTTTGCTAAAAACAATGACAACGAATACCAGAAACTGGGCGCTGTTCAGGGGTAGCTCGATGGCGCGTGGGTATAAATCGAAATATTATCAAGATGCCGCCGGGTCGCGCATCTCAGCTCAACTGCCCCCTACACTCTCCCTCCCTCTCCCACTTGATTATCGTGGCAAATATCTGATGTGGCAGTGTAGCAAAAGGCAGTTAAGCGTTTTGGTAAACAAGTTTTTACCTACATAAAATACATATGTAAGTATCTTATATAAGTGTATGTATATTTATATAATGTATGTGTGCGTGTGTATGTGTTTGTGAAATTTATGTTGTATAATATTGGCCAGGCAAATTTGCCTTTTGGTTAGCTTGTATTTCATTTCGCTTCAACACGTTGGTCTTGGTTCGGTCTGGGTCTGAGGGGCCAGCCGCACACATATAAATAACATAAAAATGAAGCGAATTCAACCTCAAAGTTCAGTTCAAATAACCACTCAATAGATCTAACCGAAACGCTGCCAACTTTCGCATTTCATGTGCATACGAAATGCCCGCCGGCTGCCGTCAATAGACGATGAATTTAAATATGCCCCAAATTGAGTATTGGGCACGTAATAAAAAAGGGGGAAAATAAAATAAGAAAGGGCTGGTACAACAAAAATGAAGAGCAGAAACCATTGAGTGAAGGCCAGTTCGGGCTAAGGCACAGAACGGGCACAGCAGACAGGCCCTGCAGCCGGTCGATGGGGCCCCGTGTTATGTATGGCATCGTAAATAAACCCTTTTTTTACTTAATCCAAATTCGTCCTCGGGGAACAATTTGTTACACAATTTAAAGAAAGAAAGGCGAACAGAAAAAAAAGAAACCGATGAGAATAAAATGAAAATAAAAGGCGATGCGCCGAGTTTAGACTTCAAGTGTGTGTGTGTTCGAGGCAATGGGTCCGTGAAGGCGTCTAGATTTAGCCCAGGTCCGAGCTTGACCCAGCTGTGTGCCCGGGCATGGGGTCAGTTTGGCTAAAAGTATCTACATATATTGTCCCTTTTCCAGCTGCAATATTTTCGCCATAAAATATTTATATATATATGTATGTATATACATATATATATTCTTCATTTTTTCCTTCGTTTTCCGAGTAATAAGGTTTTAAATTTCTATTTGGAAACACATTTTTGATATGCTTACATAAAGAATATGCAGCAATAAAATGACCCAAGCGAATGGACGGATATGAAACGCAACGATTCCTTCGAGCAGAGCTTGAATTTATTCTCATTTATGGCTCAATTTAGCAACTAAAATTTTTAGCAATGTTGTGAAATTAGTAAATAGAAATTGTAGAATACTATAATTCTATTGGATTTTATCATAAGAAAATTAGCTTGAGATATTTATAAAATCGTTTTAGTCGGATTCTACTGTAGTTATACAAGAGTATTTTCAGCTCAAATCACACTTTCCCCATCAATACACGACCTCGGTTCAGTTTCGTTTTTCTGCGTACTGCGAGAAGGTTTCTACTGCTCTGCCGTATTACTTTTGTTACAGCTCTCAGTCGGGCATAAGTAGTTGCTAGCTGATTGGGCAATGAATGGACTGTGTAATCAACTAAGCTGGCGGTCCTTTAGTGCCTGCCTGCCTGCCTCTCTGCCAGGATAAGAAGAACAGTAGCTGTTGTGTATGGCAAAAACAATGTGGGCCGTGAATCGATGCCGACTTTCAAAAATTAGCGGAAACGGAAGCCAATCAGCAGTCAACGGAAACCGCATTGTGTGCCGCAGTACTTCAATTTCGTGGCTTCGATTATGATGAGGCGCCAAGCCGTCGTTATACCGCTCTTTGGTCGGCCAGCCAGACCGCTCGTGCAGGCAGCTGCAGCGGACTTTGGCTTTGTGGTCAGTGCCGAAAATAATGGCCAAAAGCCAAATTACGTTTCCGCCCAGTCGACAGCGCAGCTCTCGCTTGGCCGGAAATTGTGAAAAATCAACTTGGTCAACGGGCACACACAGACACACTCTCTCTTTCTCTCTCTCTCACGCTCTCTCGTTCTCTCTTTGACTCGCATATTGAACCTTTGGGCAAATTGCGTTTCATAAGGAAAATTATCGCTTAACGAGCCGATTCCAATGTAAATTCAACTTGAGCCAGAAATGTTACACTACAACTACATTAAAAAGCAGCTCGAGTTAAGGTCGCTGCAGTGGAAAAACTTCAGCCATCAGCCAGAATCTCTCGCCTCTGGCAAAATGTCTGCGAATTTTATAATGAAATTCCACACAGAGTTTAATTATGTCGAAGGCATTTCAGTCAAAAGTCGAATTTCGCCTTCGATGCTTGGAATTCCGAACTATTCCTATGTAAGTCTCTTTGTATTATTGCAGTTTAGTTGAAATTTGCATTACACTAAAATAAATTGTAATTGTTGTGGGAGAGGGATATGAAGAGGGAGACCTAAGGCTGCAGCTCGATTTCGGTTTAAATAAAGTTTTGTGTTGCATACAATGTCTAAAGATCTCATTATAAATGAAGATTGAAAGCTGTGGTGCTATAATATCAAATATTATATCTTATCAGGTAAACAACTAAATGAAGCTTGAGTTCTGTTAGTTCTGTTATTTTACATTAAGTATATAATTTACTATATTAAAAAATGTTTTATTTAATTTTCACATTTTTCAAACATATTTTTGCTATTTTCCTTAGGTCTACTTTATGCCTCAACTTTTGGGCAGGAATATTGTGTAAGATATCTTTGCAACTTTTAAAGGCATTTCACAAAGTTGGCATCAACTATCTGCTCTCTTTTATTCTTGCTAAATAATTCACTTGGCTGCCAGGTGGAGTAAGCATTGGAGAGATATCTCGATAACATTCATCCAGCATAGTTCGTACCTTATCTGAGTTTACGTGATCGCACGTATGCGCATTCGTTAGCCTTGCGTGCAAATCCTGCACAGGACATAAATTTTACAAAAAAAGAAACCAAGAATTAAGAATAAAGAATGGAAAAAACGGTGTCCCCAATGGCCGGGCCGGGTCAAGCGGAACGTGAGCGAGTTTTGAGTAAATGTCGTCCACGAGCTGAAAACTGCAAAACTGTGGTACAAACTGTTGCTGCCAGCATATTCGATAATTAAATAAGCCAACCAAATGCCAACAGTTTGAGTTTGAATGCTATTTAACTCTTGCTGAGTTAAAGTTAGAGCAGGAGCTGGAGCTGGAGCAGGAGCTGGAGCTGCTTGTGAAATTAAATAAGTTGGGGCCAACCGCTAACGAGAAAGGTGTCTGGCACTAGGAATTAATGTGGCGGTTATGTGAAGCCCCTGGCAGTGGCTGCGGCTGAACAACCGACACCACCAACGCCGGCAACGGCAGCGGCAACGGCAGCGGCAACGGATGCGGAAGCCTGCGCAGCGACGGCGCGTAAAATTGCAGGCGCACATGTGTTCAGAGTTTAATCTGTTTAGGCAACACGAGCGCCTGCCGACAACTTGCAAAACTTCTTCACTGGCGGCAAACAAGGTAACACTAACTTTACCTGGCAGCCAGCTCACACATACACACACACAACGCAGAAAATAATGCACTAAACGCTGAAAATGAAATACAAGGCATTTTATCAGGCCAGCCACACCCCTTCTTTACCGCCGCCCACACCTCTGGCCAGCTTAAGACATAGACGCTAAAAATGTTGAAGTTTCTGAATTTATTTTCAATATTGAGCAAAAGTCTAGCGCCTGCTCGCTGCTCAAACTTAATTGCTAATGCAATTTTCTTCTGTACTTTTTTTTTTTTTTTTTAAGTCTTAAGTTTGGGGAGAATTTGACAGCGCAGCTTTCTCTAGTCGAACGAAGCGAATGGGGATTTGATAATGATAAGCCTGATGCAATTAGAAGTTCTACTCAAAAAAGTATTCAAAAATATTTAAAAATATTATGCACACTCTGGTAAAGCTTTTTCGTCAAGCTTTAGCAACACAAGCTTAGTCTTAGTGCAAAGATTTGAATATTTGATTTGAACATAGAAAACTTGAAATAAATAAAAAATTGAACTTTCCTAATTAAAATTGTTTGGTATATAATTGAAAATTGCAATTGTCTACCACGCCCATCTAACTAGAGGCGATTAAGGCCTAAACTAAGCTTCAGTTCGTGCGTTAATTAAAGTAAATTTAGCAAAAAAAATTTAAATTCGACAATAGTAAATACGAGTTATACGAACAAACCACATAGAGCAGAGACAACAATTTGGCCATGTTTGCTGGCAGCCGGACAAAATGCTGGGTAGCTAGGAAAATGCTGGGAAAATGCTGGGAAAAATGCTGGGCAAATGCTGTTGGCGCACAGAAGCCATCAGCAGTCAGTTGTGTTTGCGCAGCCGTGAGTAAAAAATTCAAAAACATAAACGGAAATTACCACAAAATAGAAACCACAGACCCTACCATATACCCCTCGCACACACACACAAACACATACACACACACAGAAATGTTGTTGTTGCTGTTGTTGTTGTTGTTGCTATGCCGCAATCTAACAGGACAATCTTTTGATTAACATTCTTGGCATTTTGGGGGGAAATTAGTTTTTATGTTTATTACCTGAGCCATTACATGGCATGGAAAATGAACTTGTTGAGAGCATTTGCTCTTAATACCCTGTACTGGTAAGCACAT